CCTTCCTTCCTTCCTTCCTTCCTTCCTTCCTTTCTTTCTTTCTTTCTTTCTTTCTTTCTTTCTTTCTTTCTTTCTTTCTTTCTTTCTTTCGCATGTATATGAACTATAACTAATCAGTCCACTAGTTGATAAACGAGAAAGGTTATTGTTCAGTTTACATGATTTTTGCATGGTGCAAATGTTTTAGGAATCTTGACAGAGTATTTTTCTACAGTTTTTACAAAATGAATGCATCTTTTATTGCTATTACTATTGCTGCTAATAATGATAAATCTGGCATCTGCCTGCTTATTTTTTTAAGCACATTATTAAAAGTAATTCTTAAAGAGTGTGGCCTGATTTATTGAAGGGCTGCCTTTTAAGCAGTTGAAAAAACTTAATATTAGTTTCACTGACTCATCTCCAAAACATTTGGAGACAGTAATGTATATCTTAGCAAAATCAGGTGCTTCTTTGCATGAGGCAATAGGTTGATGACATTCTTCACGTTGAAGCTGTTCTGCTTGTTTTTGCGGATTTCTACAAAGGAATGTAGTTCTAGTTTTGTTTGTTGTTTTGTTTGGGGCTTGGGGCCTCTCAGTTGTCCTGGCAATTCCTCCAGGGGACTTTTTTTAATGGAAACTTGATGAAAAAGTGTTCTTCATACTGAAGATTTTCCCAATTACATGTATGCCGCAGGAAAAGAATCTTTGTTAGATCAATTAGCAACTACAAAATTGTACTTAACTATTTTAAGTTCTGCTTCTTTGTAATCACGGCAGACTTTGTGAACGAAGTTTAGCTTTGGAAAGCAGCATGATGACACCTAGTTGGGTGAAGACTAATTTGTGGAGGATCATTCCTTTGGGCCTTGCCCAGAAAACTTGTATTGGATTAGAGAACAAGTAATTTGAGTCTTAAAAGATCTTAAGTAATTCTGCCAAGAAAGATTTCTTATCCAACCCTCTTCTCAGTTAAATCTTCCTTAATAGAGTGTTGTTCAACCTTTGACTTAGCACATTCAGAGAAAGGGAGCAAACCGTCTCCAGTTTTGAGGTACTGTTTTTCCTAATGCTTAACAAGAATCTGCTTTCCTATAACTAAAGACCATTGTTTTGTGTTCTTCAGTTTGGAAGGACAGAACCAGCCTTGATCTTCTTGTGAGACACTATTCAGGTACTTGAAAAATGCTGTTGATACCCATCTTCCCCAAGACACCTTTTCAAAAAGTGATACATAGCTAGTTCTCAGTTTTTGCTGTATTGTATATAAAATGCACATATATGCGTATATTAGGGGAAGTGCAGATAGGAAGGAAAATTGCTTGCAAAATATGCACATTAAAGGAAAAGCTACACTTTAGGGTGCACATTGTGGGAAGCTTTTGGACAAATTGCACAAGTTTTCACATGGGTTTCTCCAATGTGGAAACAGGCTGAAATGAATTTAAGGATGAAAAAATGTCAAACAAACTCAAGTGACATTGATATTATACATCATAATTCTCGCTGAAAGTATCTAAGGCAAACTGAAGGAACTTCCTCTTGAGTAAATGTACTGCAGAAGACTTGCATTCCAGAAAGCTTCTGCTTCCTAGAAAGATAATAAAACAGTTCCATCATCAGAAGAAATGCTCTGTGAGTTTTGTTTAAGGATCATGGAGGCTTTTATTTGCCTATGTTTAAAAATAGACTGACTTAATTTGAACTTCCTAGACTGCTGTACAGATTGGGACACAATTCTTTGGATTCTTTGCTGTTCCAACTTTTGTGAAGCAATTGCTGGCTCAAAAACTGTCTACAAAAATGTATATTTTAGGAAATTTGTTTTTAAATGCTTACATTAGGAAAAGATGCATAGACTAAAGTGCATATTAGAAAAAATATCTCTTAAAACATATAATTTTTGCATTTTTGCATATTAGAAAAATATCTCTTAAAACATATAATTTTTGCATTTTTTCCCTAAAATTTGCATAAAGTTGTAGAAAGTTTATGACAAATCATGTACAAAACTAAAATAGATGAGTTATAGGCTGAATTGTAAATCCCTAACTTTTAACTCATGGAATGTGGGGCAAAGGGATGTTTGCATTTCTCATTAGGCAGTAAAGTATCATAAGCCTTCTATTCATTCCTGGCCTAATTAGACTGAAGAATAAACATGCCAGACATTTGAAATATTATTAATCAGGGAGAGAACATTTAAAATCTCCTTAAACATTCTGCAAAAGATTTGGATGTTGATCTTTTTATGGAAGAACATCTTAAATGGAAATCATACATGTTTCTGATTCCATCAGGCATGAGTTCAGGCTTAGGAGTGGCTAGCTCATCCCAGAAACTCATCATATTTTTTTAGATGTCTCTTATTCCATTCTTCTTACTTAACTAATGTATCACCAATTGGGAGTGGCAAATGGCAATACATTGTTGGTTTTATGGGGCCACAGAATTCTTTTCATTCTTCTGTATAGTTGTTGAAGCTACAGAATGCTTGGGGTTATTTATATTTATTTAAACATTTTTACTTTGCCTGTATTTAAAAAACTACTCAAGGCAACCTGCAAGATAGGAAATCAGTCCAAGGAACAATAAAGATGGAACACGCAGAACAATAGCGGAAAAAAAGAGGAGAGACTTCCATAGGACCACATCAGCTAAGACGTTTACTCAGTATTGAGTAAAGATAGCACTTTAAGGTGGCACAAAAGTAT